CAAAACAAGAAGCCTCTTGATTCTAGAAGTGACAAAGACTAGTTTCTGGATTTATCATATAAATGATAAATTAACTGCTGCTAATTATGCAGGGAGACATTTCATCTATTTGAAACAAAAAACTGTCTAAAGCTAATGGGAATTCAACCAAACTAAGAATCTCAGATAAAGATTATCCAATAGGTAAGCTTATAATAAGCAGGATCTATTATCACTCTATCTATCTATTGATCTATTTATCTATATATCATCTATCTATCTACATATACAATATCTTAATATTATACTAAATTGCTGTCTACTCCTCTCTAGCCTGTTTATGTTATACTTTACTGTAACTAAATCTTGAGCAATCTGTCCTTGGTCTTCATAGCTTTTCTACTCTCTGCCTGGGTGATCTCAGCCTTATTTTGACCTTTGCCACCCAGTTTGTTCTAGTATCTTTGAAACATGTTTCAATTTAGCTTGAATCTTACTATACTCATAATTATAAATAGAAATATAGAAGCTATATTCCCAAAGAATCCATACTTAGTGTGTTCAAACCTAAGACTGAATTCTTTCTATTAAACATATGTATCCTCCTGAATATTCTTGAGTGTAAAACAAACCACTCAAAGCAAATGGGGAAAAAATCATACTTCGACCCTTTAGGTAAAATAAAAAGCCAAAACTAGCTAAGCTAGCATGTTGAATTGTTTTCTAGGTTTTTCTTAACTAAGCAATTGTTTTTGATGATGGTTGTGATTCTGCTATTTTTAGGTTTTTTTTTTAAAATAATAATATTGGATTTGTGATTCTTTTCCTTCCTATGTTAGTATTTGTAATACATATATTTATTATAATTATTTTCACTTGCTTTAAATTGGGGTGATGTAATTAATAGTTTCCTTAAGATATAAAAATCTATATATTCATATATGTCTATCTATCATCTATCGTCTATCTATCTATTCTATCATCTATCTATCTGTCTATCTGTCTCTATCTATCTATCTATCTATCTATCTATCTATCTATCTATCTATCTATCTATCTATCTATCTACCTACCTACCTATGGTTGCTGCTTTTTCTTCCCCAGTCCTACTATTTGAACTCAAGGCCTGGGTACTGTCCCTGAGCCTCTTTTGCTCAAGTCTAATATTCTACCACTTGAGCCACAGCACCACTTTTGGCTTTTTCTGTTTATATGGTACTGAGGAATCGAATCCAGGGCTTCATGAATGCTAGGCAATACTCTACCATATTCCCAGGCACATTCCCAGCCCTGCTAGTGTGTTTGTTATTATTTTCTGTGGTATTGCTATTTCAACTCAGTGTCTCACACTCATCAGTGCTCTACCATTTGGAGCACTGCGTCCTTTTGCTTTTTGTTTTACCCAGAACATTTTGCATTGATTTTCTGGGATGGCCTTGAGCCTCTGTCCTCGTAACTCTTCCTCCTGAGTAGCTGGGATTACAAGACAGGCCTTCCACCCTGCCCAGCCCTTTATATCATTTCTACTTTTCAGAATATATATTAAGGAAATGGGATGGAAAATTTTAATTAGCTTTTAGTGATTTTGCTTTATATTTTATTTATAATATAATCTAATTTTCCTCTGTGTTCATCCTTTGATTTTACTTTGTTCTTTGGGTAGCTGTTTCATTTGCTCTTTTTTTTGTCTTTTGATGAATGATGATTAAAAAGTTATAATGTTAAACGAATATATCAGTTCTATTATCACAAGGTATAATAAGTAATATTTTCATTGCTCAGTTTTAAGCATTTAATAATTGGCTTTATAATTTTATCTGTATTTCATGATTTAGAAATAAGCTTTTTAGTGTCATATATATGAAATATTTTAACTTACTTGTTAATTTTTAATTTTATTTCCATAGTCTAGTTCATATCAATTCTTCAGAATTTGTTGAAACTTTGTTTTTATTCTATGTATTTGATAAACTCGATGAAATATAGGTTTATGTTTTCATCATTGGAAATCTGAAACAGATGTTTTTCTAAGATATTCACATTCATAATTCAGCCATTGACAGGGAAGAGGTGAAAGAATTAGTTCTTAGGTTTATATTGACTAAGCCTAGAAACAGTCTAATCACTTGTAATACTTTCCATGGGTCAGGATTCATTTCCACAGACTGCTCAACTGGAAGGAAGGCAGAAAAGACCAAAATAATGGAGGATTCATTCAGAAAAACTTTCCTACATGCTGATTAACTCAAAAATGTGTCTTGTTTTACAAAAGGCACATCTGTATCTGAAGGAAGGAGAGTCTATTCAAGTCTATTTACTAGTTAGTTGTAGGGTTTGATGTACCATGTTCGTTAGTCATTGAAATGATCAATTCTGTAAGGTAATAATGTGTGTCTCTGTGTGTATATATGCTGATACTAGAACTTCAATCCAGGATTTCACGTTCTCACTTGGCTTTTTGCTCAAAGCTTATACTCTACCACTTGAGTCACATTTCCACTTCCAGGGTTTTGCTGGTTAATTGGGGGATGTTTCCCAGATTTTTCTGCAGTCTCTGAGTAGCTAGCATTATAGGTATGAGCCAGTGGTACCCAGCCTAATAATGTTTCTTTTTCTTTAGGACTAGTGGATTCTAAGAAAATTATGTGAAGTTTTTTATATGATTTAGAAATTATGCCACCTTTTCTTTCCTTTTAGAAATATCAAGACCATTGTTAGGCTCCTACAATGTCATTGTTTCTTGTATTTTAGAATAGTTACTACGTTTATCATCATAACATTCTTCATGTTATCTTTTACTTAAATTTTCTAATGATTTATGTCAATAATATAATATCTTCTTTCTTTTGGCTAGGTTTTTATAATCAGTTATCTCATGTTTACTGTAAGGATATTGTGTGATTTGGAGCTTTATTAGTAGCTTTTGATTACAGAGTTAAAAACATCCATTCCAACAGCTATATGAATTCACTTGTTAATTTCAATGTGCTAGTTTCTTTTTATATTTTATTTCATTTTGCTGCTTTTTTAGCTGCCATAATGAAATTGCTTTCTTCTCTTGAAAATGTGAGCATTATACAATCTATTATTAAGAACTATAGAGGGACAAAGGGAGAACAAATGCAGCTATGGTACTCACTGGACACTATGTTGAAATGAACTGTACAACTTGTTGGTAGTGATTGGAGGGAAAATTAGAATAGAGTGAGGGAAGGGGTGACGACATTGCCAAAAATAAAATGTACTCCTTACCTTACTAACTGTAATCCCTCTGTACATCACATTTATAACAAAAACTATACAATCTCAAATAAAGTTATAAAGTTGTTGTATGTATGTTTATTATAAAGACCTTGTTTGCCAGGCACATATGGCTATACCTATAATCTTAGTTACTCAGGAGACTGAGATCTGAGGGTCACAGTTCAAGCTAGCCCCAGAAGACAAATATAAGACTTTTATTTCCAGTCAATAAACAAAAGCAAGGATTAGAGACATGGATCAAGTATTAGGACACCAGAGAGCAATAGTGTTAGGCTGAGCATTCAAAACCCAGTAATGGCACACACACACACACACACACACACACACACACACACACACACACAAAGACCTTGTGTTGACTATTGCATTTATTTATGTCCTTGCAATCATCTTTCTTGTTTAGTTTACTCATTTTTAAAACAATCCTAGCTACTAGGAAGGCTGAGAATGAGAGTACTGTGGTTTGAGATCAACTTGGGCAGAAAAACCTTGTGAGACTCTTCTCAGAAAATATAAATTGGGAATGATGGCATGTATCTGTTATCTTAGCTAGATGGGAATCTTGATGTGGGTGGATCAGACTCAAGTATGCACAGAAGCATACTCAACATATACATATAATACTGTAAAAAAGTAACAAAATAGAATTGAAGAGCTTACCAGCTAAATAAGGTAGTGCTTTACTCCAGGGTACTAGCTATGAAATTTGGTGTGAACAATTATAATCAACCTACTTAAGAACTATTTTATTGTAAAGATGCTGTGCAGAGGGGTTACAGTTACATGAGTAACGCAATGAGTGTATTACTTGTTGATCATTGATAACCCTTCCCTTGTTGTTGTCCCATTATCCCTTCTCTCCTCCACCTCCCACTCAACCTACTTAAAAAAATCTTATTCCATTAATCTATGGTAACTATATGCCTGTAGCTTTCAATACCAATCAGATGGTTTTAATAGTCATAGGTCACCCACCAAAAGTTTGTTGCAACCTGGATTGTGTATCCTTCAATCATAGATAATCGTTTCCTGATCCCTATGATAATCAGCAATATTACTCACAGGTTGTTTGGAGAATTCATTTACATTTTACATGTAATGCACTAGTTAGGGTCATGTGTATAGAAATATATTCAATGGAAACAATTAAAATAATAAAATTTAATGTCTGACTTGACCAACTATTAATAGATTGCTAAGATGAAAAGATAAATAGAAGGATTTAAATAAGTGAAATTGCCAACCAAGTCTTTTTGTGTAAGTTTTGCAACAGTGTGAAGGCAGAATCTCAGGAGCAAATGAACAGGACAAGCTTAGCATTTCAAGACCAATATTTTGGATTTTTTCCCCGGTAGCTACATGTGAAATCCTGATAAAAATTAAACAGTGTGTATTATCAATGAAAATTATGCACGTGTTTAAATATACGAATAATAACAAGACAAAGAAATAACCAGCTTTAGAAACTTAAATGTTTATAATTACAGTCACTGATGGGAATTACTAGCAATGCATTCATTATGTGTGTACTGCAACATACCCGTGTTACTTTCTGTACAATTTTGGCTAGATCCTTTGTCATTTCATTGCATCCATTGCTACAGGGCATCAGCAAGGATCTTCAGTAGAGAAACTCCAAGTTCTATTTCAGTTTTAAGATGATATGACTCTATGAACACAAAAGTGTTCAAGTCTCAGTTTTCAACTCTGAGTCAACTTGTGAAAGGATATAAATGACCTTCAGTGTGAGTGTGTCTTTATATCCTGTATTCATTCCTTTTCTTTTCTTCCTCCTTATCTGCCATCCCCACTAATTCCTCAAGTTTCTTCTCCAAGTATTTCTTTAGTGTCCTGCGAATGTTTTTCATTTTCCTCCGGTGAGAAACACAAAAATAGAATCTAGAGGAAAGAACAAAGGTAATGTCAACATCAATGTCATTAGCCCCGCTCCTTTAAAAACAATTACATAATGTTTTCTTCACTTGTGGATCCCTTCCATCCATTTTCTTAAATTACAACACATCCCATCAAACTTCTATTCACTTCATTCTTGTAAATATCATAGCTCAGATTTTGGAATGACTTCTTTCCCCCTTTTCTCCATTGGCCTAAGAGGAATTTGGAGCAATATTTTTGCAAAGACCTGTTTGACCCAGTTTATTTGGAGGGAGAAAAACTCACAGTAACACTGCACTTGCCAATAGTCCAGCTTCTGTAAACAGTATCAGGAAGAGTATAATTTCTCTATTCTCAGCCTTCTTCAAATCATCGTCTGGAAAAAGAAAATGTACAGCAGTGAGGTTTGAAGAAAAGAAATAGTCACTATGGATCCATACACAGAATTGAGTCATAATTTCAGGTTTCCCTTTTTATTACTTCATATGTGCTCCTACTTTTCTTCCGGGTCTTACTATGCTTGACTCCTAGACTCTGTGAAACCCTTTACCTTGACTTTCCTTAATCTAATAACTTCTCCATATCTAGTCCAGTCTTCTCATTTCTTAGCCCTTTAATTGGTCCAGTAGTAAGTTATTATTACAGTATCATGTGTGTGTGTGTGTGTGTGTGTTTAAGTATTGGGGCTCACTCAGCTTTTTCACTGTGCCACGTGAACCATGTCTCCACTTCTGGCTTTTTGCTGCTTAATCAGAGATCAAAGCCTCTCAAATATGTCTGCTTTGAACCATGATCCTCAGCATAGTGAGTAGTTGGAATTCTAAGAATGAGCCATTGGTGTCTGGCTCATTCTGGTATCAATTTTGATTAGCTCTTTCATTTTTCTTTCTTTTTTTTTGTAACATTACCATGGGATGCATAGTACTCTCAAATATTTGGTGAATAAATTAACACTAGCCTGATCCTTGTTCTATGTCCTCTTAAACTGTCATGCCAAACTATATGTCAAATTGCCACACTAGAATATATGTCACCTCCACAATATTCTCCTCTGAAGCACTGGGAAGACACACGAAGACAGGTCCAACAATCAAGAATGGGTCCTTCAGTTACAACTGATAAAAGAAAAAAAAAATCAGAAGAGAGATGTCCCAAGGCTCTACCCCTAAAATATGGACTAGATCTCTGATATTGCCAGGAATCTTATAGGGTTATTTCTGTTACTCTAAATCCATTCTTTTCCTAATTATCAAGTTCCTTAAAAGGGCATAACCTATAAATTAAATTGTATCTCTGAGGAAGAAGTCGAAATAACAAGACCTTGCTTCTAATGGGTTAAAGGGTTGGGAAGTATGCTTCAGGAGGCCTCTAAACATTTTCTAAGTCTGTAGAGTACATAAGGTTTCCCAAGTTACGTTTTGTAATTATATATGCTAAAATTTCCCCGTGTAATCAAAGCTCTAGGGATTGGGTCCTCTTTGTAATGGGAGAGACAAGCCATAGATAGAGCAAGGGAAGTGGGAAAAATGGACCGAAACTTAAAAGCGTCATATGCACTATACTCACTGCAATCTTCTGAACAAGCTAAAAGAGAATCAGAAAGGGCTGATGAGTTTAAAATCAAGTCAGGGCATACCATATTACACCCCATTAGTCTTTTCTTACCCATTCAGTCCCAGCTACCCCGCCACCCACGCTAAATACTTCCATTGGCATTCCTCCTCTCACCCACTACTTCTATTCCCATCACATTTTTTCAGTGTTGTTTGATAGAAATTTTGCATTACCAACTTCAGAGAAGATCGTTAATTTTTCTGTCAGCTTAGATTCCAGCTTTTTGCGCATCTCGAGAAACTGGCCTTGATAGATAAAGACCCCTAAAAAATGGGGAGGATGTAGGAAATTGGGGTGACCCTTCTTTTCAGAATCGTTCTTTGGCCTTGTTCTCCCCATCCAAATTTCTTCTACTGGATTGGCCAATACGAACTTCTGAGAGTCAAACAATACCTCACCTTTCCATGTTTCATTGCCGATTTTATAAAATTCATTCTTCAGCCATATTCTCAAGTTGATGACAGTTTGAACAGCTGAAGAAGAAGTGGAAAGGTATATGTGGGGCAAAAAATCGTATCTGTGGAAGAAATTATGTGGACCCAGGTGTTCCCTTCCCTGCCCCCCCTTCTCCTTTTTAACACCCAAAAACTCTCAGGGACTCAAGCTGCCCTCACCCAATACCCGAAGCATCTTGTTCCTGTGGACGACCTTGAAGCTTAAATGGGTGATCTCTTTAAATTGCCGTTCAAGCAGTTGAGTTCGATCAGGGACTTCTGTGGGTACCATCGTTGTCAGAATGACCCTAATATCCTCTATGAATTTTGGGTCACAGTCCAAACAGCCTTTGACCCCATGGAAGGCAACCAGGGACAGTGGCAGGAACAGGAATAACCACAGGTCACCCATTTCCTTGACCCTATCCCCAACAACAGGTTGCCCGGGCAACTAGTTTACTTAGTTCCTTTTCCTTCAGAAATCCAGGTAGGAGAACTGTGTTCTGGATGCTCTGAGGCTATCTTTCCCTCCCTTTCCATCTCACTCTTAGGGAATGCCATGTTTCTGAGGATCTCCAGTTGTTTTCTGAATTTTATCCTTCATTCCAGAGAGAGAGAACTGTCTGCTGGGGAATAGTTACCTTGAATTCTGAGTATGGAACAAACAGAAAGAAAGAATCCTTGAACTCACAAAAGCAGAGTTCTGTTCAGGGAGATCACTCAAAAAAAATACTTTCTTGCCCAGCACCACATAACCCCAGCTACTCAGGAGGCAGAGATAAGAGGATTATGGTTCAAAATCAGTCTAAACAGGAAAGTCCACGAGACTCTAAACTCCAATTAACCACTAGAAACCTGGAAGTGGAGCTGTGGCTCAAGTGATAGAGCTCTAGTCTTGAGCACAAAAGCTCAAGAATAGCATCCAAGCCCTGAAATCAAGCTTTAGGTCTATCACCAAATAACTGACTAACTAAATAAATACTTTTAAATCTCTGTGTCTTTAGTAGATTCCCATACTCCTATCCCCTCAAGTAATGTATCAACACAAAATCTCACAGGTCTTTGGAGAAAGGTCAATCCAAACTCACTGTTTCCTAGGAGGTAAGAGAAGCCAAGGAAATCCAGTTGGCTTAGGGTCGGTCACACTCCCTATCGGTAGTAGTATTATTGGAATTAAGGAGTGATGTGCAGTCATTAATTGAATTAATTAACTAGTCAGGCTACATTTGTCTGTGGGGTGATTCTTCCAGACATACTTTGTAACATTTTGATAACCTTCTTCTAAGAATCTCTGTTAGCAAAGCAATTTATAAATACAATATATCACTGGGTGCTGGTGGCTCATGCCTTTAATTCTAGCTACTCAAGAGGCTGAAATCTGAGGATTGTGGTTCAGAGCCAGCCTGGGCAGGAAAGTCCATGAGACACTTATCTTCAGTAAACCACCAGAAAGCTGGAAGTGGCGTGGTGGCTTAAGTGGTAGAGTGCTAGCCTTTAGCTAAAGAGCTGAGTGACCGCATTCAGGCGCTGAGTTCAAGCCCATGACCGACCAAAATATAAATAAATAAATAAGATAAATAAATACAATATATCTCCATCAATGTTACCCCTTTCAACATTCTCCCCCATCCCTCACCTCTCCTTCCTTCACTCTTCTTATTTTTTAAGATATACACTGGATTCTTATCTGCATTTCCCCCTCTCCTCCTCTTTCCCCTTGACCCCAGCCCAACCCTTTCAAGTACCCATTTCCTAGTGTTTTATTTTGCTGCCTTTGCCTTTGCCTACACTATATGAAATCTTGCATGCCAGGTTTGCCCAATATTCAGATTTCCTACCAGTTTCACAAGGCTAGAACTGGTAATGATGAGACAATAATTTTCCTCTCTTAGACTAACACATTCATGACTGGAAAACATCTTCTACCTGCTGATCACCTATGACCCCTCAGTCACCTAGGGCTATGAAGTAACATAGGCAACATCCCCCCCATTTCTGTATCCTAGTTTTGGAAATAAACAAACAAGGATTAGAGGTAAGGAATTATCATTCTTTAAAAAACTGTTAACTAAATAAATACTGTGCTTAAATTACCAGATATAATTAGGCTTATGAAATTGTGCTAATACTGTTTTTATTTTCTCTTTTTTCCCTTTTCTTGGAGTTTATTTCATTGAATTCTATTTTTTTATGAAATGATGTTTCTTTTAATGGAACTTTTTCTTTCTTTATTGTGAAAATACCGTACACAGGGGTTACAATTACCTGGGAAAGATAATGAGTACATTTCTATCAAGCATTGTTGCCTCCTCCTTTGTTTCCCCTTCCCATCCCTTTCCATCATCCCTCCCTCCCCCTCACCCCACCTGTTTTTCGACATAACTACCTATAGCCATCTAATCTTCGATAAGGGAGCTAAAAAATAGAATGGAAGAAAGACAGCCTCTTCAGTAAATGGTGCTGGCAAAATTGGTTAACTACTTATAGAAAACTAAAGCTATATCCTATATATCACCCTGCATCAGAATCAACTCCAAATAGATCAAAGACCTTGGAGTCAAAGCAGACACTGAAAACCTAGGTCTCCTTCACACAGGCTGAAATTTTCTTAATAGAGACCCAGAAACATAGCAAATCAAAGAAAGGTTGGACAAATGGGATTGCATAAAATTGCAGAGCTTCTGCATGGCAAAAGACATAGCTAGCAAGATCAATAGAAAGCCCACAGATTGGGAGATCTTCACTAGCCATACAACGGACAAGGGTCTCATATCTATAATATACCTGGAACTCAAAAAATTTATTTTCTCTTGAATGAGATGTGAGATGAAATGTTCAGAGAAAAAAATCTAGACTAAATATAAAATATGGAGAGTTGTGTTTATTTGCATATCTGAAAGAAATTTAAATAAATGCATGACCTTAAACAACTTAATATTTATTCCTTAAGCCTGAATTGCTATTTTCACTTTACTAAAGTAGTGAGGAAAAGATTTGGGGTTATAACATGAAATTATGTACCATCAAATCCATGTCCTTTTCCAAATACCAAAATGCTTACTGAGAATAAGTAAATCTGAGGTTGCCTATTCATTGCCTTAATTATTAGTAAGAGTAGATACCCTCAAGGCCATTATTTTTGTGAGAAAAAGAATATATTTTGATTTTATTTCTCACCAGTCCGTTTTTCTTTAAGTAAATGGACTCTATGATCCTGACAATTTTGAAATGTTTCCCTACACCAAAAAATTATCTTTTTTCTTCTTCACAATTACTTGTGTAGTCATGATTTGAAGGATATTTGTATTCAACTATAACTTGTTTGACTTTGTTTAAAGAATACAGTTTCCTTTTTAATTTATATTAAAAGACATAGATGCTCATCTTGTTTCCCTTAGAAATACCAAGAGAAAAAAAGATTTCTCCTTTCCTTCCTTTAAAAAAATAATGAAAAGTATAAAACCTACTAGGTGAACAATATCTGGCCAATTTGAGCTTGTGATCTGTGCCTGCTAGTGTTTTATACTTCTTATATGTGTGATCTTAAATCCTCATGCTCAGAGGTTGGTACTGTTACTTACCTCTTACTTCGGGGCTAGAGGCTTAGACTGTTTCTATGTTTTCTATCAGATCTCAGAATTCTCCATTCTAACAATTTTGCTGATTCCCTACTTATGTTCTTTTAACCCTGATGTTCTTACTTTTTATCTACCAAATGAAAACAAAAGAAAAGCATCTTACCTGTGACTAACAAACTGGTATATTTCTGAGAAACTGATGGTGTAATTTTGGCCTGACAAATAGAAATATATTTTTCTAATTCTGCTCTTGTTGAGAGCGATTTCTCTGAAAATCACAGGGTCCGGAGGAGAGGGAAAGTCAGTATGGTTTTACTTTCATGATATGGACCCTCTAAAAACTATTTTTAGTGATAATTCCTTTTCTTATAAGACTTTGGACTTTTTTTCTACTTGCATATTTCTGTCTGAAATTTTGATCAGATAAGTATCCTCTTCATTTTAATATGTTAAGAAAAATTTCCCATGTAATTCAGGTAATTTAACCAGAATAAAACTTAAGCATGTATGATTTTTCTATAAAAGGGCCTCAACAAAAGTAGTTGTCTTTTACATATTTACCACCCTAAAATGACACAAGAATACAGAACTGGACCAATAGTGAGGCAGGAAGCTTTCAGTTCAGAAGAGAAAAGATGGTCATATTGGGAAGGATCATTATATGTGGTTCCTGGAATTGATCTACACAGAAGACATGGGCTTCCCATCACTCCTGGGCATGGGGTGATTCTACCTGAGACTGAGACAGCTGAACTGGGAGTCCCCAGCTTTACAGAGCTATTTATAGTTTTCACAGTATAATGAGATTAAGGTATCTGTTTTAACTGTTCCCTAATTTTCTGCCAGCATAATAACTGATATATATTCATTTTCTTTATTGAAGTGTGATTAATCTACTATTATCTATGTTAACCAGGAAAAGACTTTGAAAATTCCATATTCTATAAATTATTAAGTTATTTGTAACAAAATTTATTCACTGAAGTAGCTTTCTAAATAGTAAGGTAGACATTTTCAAGGAAAAAATAAATAAAATGTTTTTTTCCAGTTGTAACTATTTACAAATTTCTCCATAAATTCTCTGTGAAATTCTCTCTTATATTTTAAGAAAAGACCTTGATGAAGAGTGCATTGACTACTTTTCATTTATGCCAAATTTAGTTCTACATCTGAAGGGCATCTTCAGTAAATTGGTCATACATTATCTCATTTGCAGTCTTAGTTTTATGAGCTCCCATAAAGCAATTACCATATATACGTTTTACAATAAATGAACAAATGAAGTGCTTGCAAACAATATGGAAAAGTCAATAATTAATTTTAGATTTCCAAATGTATCAGAGACACTGGAGCTTTCTTTCCTTTTCAAAAGAGACACTTTCTTTGTTAGGAATATGCAAGCATGTTAATTCATTACTGTGTGCTTTCTCCTTTTTCCAAAGCTTGTCCAATGCCTAATTTATGGATGAGACTGAGAGCTGTTTAAACAGATAATATGCCTCCTTCGTGAGAAATACCACCCCTTTATGCTCCATTAAATTCAGCCGTTGACTCTATAAGCTACCTACCAATTATTTCTTTCCAGAACAGCAGCATAACACGGTTTTTCTTTTTCTTCCCCCCCTCCCCACAAAGGACAACAGATTATTGCAGGCTGCTATCAATCTTCTCTACATAGTGCATGGGACACTAGAGAGAAAACAACTGAATTGCTATTTTAGCATTTTCAAAATGCTACGTAAAGAGGAAATAAAAAGATATTTCTCTGATTGTTGAACTTCTATATATTTTTTAAACCTCCCAAGGATAGAAAAACACCTTAAGTTAATCAATG